TTTCTTATCCAATCTGATTTCTGGTTTTTTTTTGTTGTTGTTTGTTTTTTTGAGACAGAGTCTCACTTTTGTTGTCCTGGCTAGAGTGAGTGCCGTGGCGTCAGCCTAGCTCACAGCAACCTCAAACTCCTGGGCTCAAGCGATCCTCCTGCCTCAGCCTCCCGAGTAGCTGGGACTACAGGCATGCACCACCATGCTCGGCTAATTTTTTGTATATATATTTTTAGTTGGTCAATTAATTTCTTTCTATTTTTAGTAGAGACGGGGTCTCGCTCAGGATGGTTTCGAACTCCAACCTCGAGCAATCGCCGCTCGCTCCTAGAGTGCTAGGATTACAGGCGTGAGCCACCGCACCCGGTCTGATTTCTGTTTTTTAATGGCCTATTTAGACATTTCCACTTAATGCAATTACTGATATAGTTAAATTTATATCATCTTATGTTTTTTTTTTATTTATAACATCTGTAATTTGTTCCCTTTACCTTCTTTTTCTGCCTTCCATTGGATTAACTATTTTTTATAATTCCATTTTTATCTACTCTGCTGGTATATTAGCTATAACTTTTTATTATTTTTGTGGTTGTTTTAGGGTTTACATCTTTCACATATCATAGTCTACCTTCTAGTGCTGTATCTTCAATATATCAATATCTATATCTTCAATATCTTTGATATGCCATTAATCTCATCCAACATATTTTTTTTTTTATTTTTTTTTTGAGACAGAGTCTCGCTTTGTTGTCCAGGCTAGAGTGAGTGCCGTGGCGTCAGCCTAGCTCACAGCAACCTCAAACTCCTGGGCTCAAGCGATCCTCCTGCCTCAGCCTCCCAAGTAGCTGGGACTACAGGCATGCGCCACCATGCCCGGCTAATTTTTTATATATATATCAGTTGGCCAATTAATTTCTTTCTATTTATAGTAGAGACGGGGTCTCGCTCTTGCTCAGGCTGGTTTTGAACTCCTGACCTTGAGCAATCCGCCCGCCTCAGCCTCCCAAGAGCTAGGATTACAGGCGTGAGCCACAGCGCCTGGCCTCATCCAACATATTTTTCATCTCACACACAGTAGTTTTAATCTTTAGAAGTTCGATGCTGACCTTTTTAATATCTTCCATGTCTCTACTTAACTTTTGAACATATGGCATACAATTATAATAACTGTCTTAATAGCCTGTTAGTTGTAACATCTGGGTCAATTCTGGGTTGATTTTAATTGATTGATTCATCTCCTCATTAGAGGTCATTTTCCTCTACATCCTTGCATACTTGCTAATTTTTTATTAGAGCCAAGACATTGTGAAGTTGCTGGATGTTTCTGTATTCCTATAAATATTCTTGAGCTTTATTTAGGATAAAGATAAGTCACCTGGAAACAGTCTGATTTTTTGAAGGTCTTACTTATAAGATTTGTTATGCAGGACTGAAGTAAGGTTCAGTTCAGGGCAAAGTATTCCCCACTACTGAGTAAAAGTTCTTCTGTTTACTCTAGCCACTTCACAATAAATTTTAAGGATTTTCTCAGCCTGGTTGGTGGGAAGAGGTACTACTCCTGGGCCTGTGTGAGTGCCAGAGAGTGTTACCTCTAATTTTGTCAGCTGGATCCTTCCCTGGCATCAGGTGGTTTCCTAAAATACATACACTGATCAATACTTAGCTACATACTTGAGGGGGACCTTCTGTGGATCTCTGGAGTTTTCTCCTCTATGAAGAAGTTCTCTCCTCTCTGCTATACTGTCTTGTGAATTCTCATGACCCTGGGCTCCCCATAATCTCAACTTTTTCTGCTTAACTCAAGTCTACCAGGCTCTGCTTGGGTTCCTCCTTCCTGCACTACAGCCTGAAAAATCTCTAGAGGAAATAAACTGGGACAATCTTTGAGCTCACCTTGCTTATTTCACTTCTCTCAATATCACTGCCCTTCACTGCCTATTTTATTTCACTTATTTTGTATATTTCTTGCTTGTTTCAAGCAGGAGACTAAATCTGTTACCTGTTCTCCAACTTGTCCAGAAACCAAAGTATTATCACTACATATTTTGATTGAATTAAACTTAAGGTTTCAAAAACATAATGTTTCAATTTTGATCTACAAAACAGCAATCTCCTATGTTTCAATCTATTATTACATGGTTTTTAAAGAATGTGAGAGACTTTTGATTTAAAAATCTAATAACTCTACCTAAAAAATGAAATGATGTTTATTCGGTGTGCCTTATCCTTGGTGATACTATTTAAGGCTTGTATTAATTTTCAAATTATTCACAAACCATTGCAAACTCCTTACAAAGCATTTTGTTGCCACACTACCCACTTGATTTGGACCCACAGTTCCATTTGCTGCAGCCAAAGATTTTATCTCCTGGAACAGAATTAAGATCTTTAATCCAGGTATATAAGCATCAATCAATCTCTACATATAAATTTCCTCCTACCCGGTTAAATTCGTCATATAATACACTTCTCATGACACAGTTTCTCTTTTTTTTTTCCCAAATGGAGTAATCTTTGTAAAACAAAATTTCTTTGCACAAGGAATGGGGCCACAGTCTCAACAGAGCTAGGCAGGAGGAAACAGCATCTAATATATCAAGAAATCAACTCGTGGCTGGGCGTGGTGGCTCACGCTTGTAATCCTAGCACTCTGGGAGGCCGAGGCGGGCGGATTGCTCAAGGTCAGGAGTTCAAAACCAGCCTGAGCAAGACCCTGTCTCTACTATAAAAATAGAAAGAAATTAATTGGCCAACTAATATATATATATAAAATTAGCCGGGCATGGTGGCGCATGCCTGTAGTCCCAGCTACTCGGGAGGCTGAGGCAGGAGGATCGCTTGAGCCCAGGAGTTGGAGGTTGCTGTGAGCTAGGCTGACGCCACGGCACTCTAGCCTGGGCAACAAGCGAGACTCTGTCTCAAAAAAAAAAAAAAAAAAAAAAAAACAAAAAAAAAGAAATCAACTCGTGACTATCTTTATGTCATAAATGTGACACCTATTTTTGTAGAAATTTCTATCATCGTTTTTAATTCTAATTTTTATTTTTTTCTTCTTTATCTACAAGTTCCTTGGTGACATAGAAATTTCTAAAATAAGGAAATAAATACACTCGTAAGACTTATATTAATGATTAGGTTAGAAGATTAGGAAGCAGAAAATCAGTACCATAGCATGATGGTGGATGAAGCAAAAAAAGAAAAAGAAAAAAGAAAGAAAGAAAGAAAATCAGTATCAGTATATAAACTTGTCAATTAATCTATAATGGCAAACTTTACCTACCACCTGCTCTTGTAAAAGTCAACCCGCAAATATTCAAATATCATTCCAACCAAAGGTGTGATTTTTTGGGGGGGCGTACCTCTACCAAAAAAATTCTGTTTTCTTAGAACATGGTAGGGGATTTTATTAAGTAGATTTAAATATGATTCCAACCTTAGTCATTACAAGCCAAAAAATTATTGAAATTTGACACCTATTATTTTAAATTTGAAAAGTCTCAGAATTCATAATTCAGGTCAGGGACAGTGGCTCATGCCTGTAATCCTAGCACTCTGGGAGGCCATGGTGGGAGGATTGCTTGAGGTCAGGAGTTCGAGACCAGCCTGAGCAAAAGCGAGACCCCGTCTCTACCAAAAATAGAAAAATTAGCTGGGCATGGTGGTGCGTGCCTGTTGTCCCAGCTACTCGGGAGGCTGAGGCAGGAGAATACCTTGAGCCCAGGAGTTCGAGGTTGCCAGGGGCTATGATGACACCACTGCACTCTAGCCTAGGCAACAGAGTGAGACCCTGTCTCCAAAAAAAAAAGAATTCATAATTCAGTGAAGAAAAGAAACAAATGAGGTCCTTGCATAACTGTATGTGTTTCTAAACTGCCATATATACACAAAAAACTGAAAACACAAAAAGAAATTTGGTGACTATGGGTTGAGATAGGTGGAAGCTTATCACTATATACCTTTTTTATATTTCCTGAATTTTGAATCATGAAAATTATCTATTTAAAAATTAAAATAAATGAAACAAGAAACTGACTTAAACCACAATTAGAAATAAGCTACATAACAAATAACTATACTGTATCTATTTTACATTTTAAAAAATTCACATGTAGATTAATATTATGAACTAAGACAGTATCTTCCAAATTTTCTTTCTCTCTCTCTCTCTTTTTTTTTTAACCCAGGAGCGTAGATTCAAGGTGCCCTGAATATATAGTCCTCCAAAATGTCTTAATGAAATCATTTGGGTTGTTAAAAACAGATTTGGGAGCACAACCTAGACCTATAAAATCAAGTTTTCCCAGGAAGACAATAATCTGTATGAAAAGTATCCCCAGGTGAACCTTACCAAAATTGGGGAAACTCTTAACTAAGGGGTAATGTAAGGTTCACATCTGGGAAGAGCAATAACTTTGGAACTAGACAACCCTGGATTCATTTCTTGGCTCTACTATTTTCCTATATGATCTTGGATCAGTTACTTAGCCTCATTCTGCCTTACCTGTAAAATGAAGATACTACCTCCAGTATTGTTATAAAGTTTAATTTATGTAAAGGGTGTGGGACACAATCTTTCTTTAATGCTTAAGTTTACCTCGTTTCCTCTGAAAAAATGAAGATATCTGGCACATAGATATCTAATAAATAGACATCACATACCAAAATTATGCAGATGTCTATCCAATTAACAAAGTTGCTGCTGAGGCACTATCTACTAACCATTACTGTTCTCAAGACTTATACACACACACATAATTGTCTTAGTCACTAAACTATGAACCATCCTGCCAAAAAGCATTTAACTAACTCAATTTACTTGGCTTATGCCTGACAAGTATCACTTACTTGCTAAAGAATATTACCATTCTACCTCTAAAAATGTCACTTTATACACTTTAACAAAATGGAAAAAAAAATACTACCGTGTTGTCTTAGCTACTGTTTTTCCTTAATCTAAATTATGGCATCCTAAATTATTTTCTCTCAAAAAAATCCCCTAATAACTGTACCTCTGTTATGTTTCTCTCTCGTAATGAAGCCAACTCATATGGATCCACAAAAAGTCCTGCTGGGATGTACTGTTTAATTAAGAGTCGGCAGGTCTGTAAGTCCTCAATGCTTTCTCCAAATTTCACTTTGATTAAAAGGTCTCTGTAAGACAAGTACATTCACAGTAAATCTCTTTACTCAATTCTTAAATGAGATAATATAACATTATATTCATATTAGTGGAAACACTATATTTCACATTCATTTTCCAAAAGTAGATTATAAAGTCCAATGAAATATTTATAGTATGTCAGAATCAGCCATTAGATCTTTCATAAGTCATATCATTAGCCACAGTATAGCATTAGTGTGAAAATAGACAAAGATCAGTGGGAAGGAAGGAAGTCCAAAAATAGTCACAAATGTATTTTCAATAAAGGTAGCAACATAATTTAATGGGGAAAGGTTAGTCTTTTCAATAAATGATACTGGAACAACTGGATATTTATATAGACAAAAATAAACATTGATCTCTACCTCATCCCATATAAAAAAATCAATTTAAATAGGTAATAAACCTAAATGTATCACTGTCCCAGCCTTCCATCTGGAGGCAGATCTGAAACAGTGCAGGGAATGAGATGCAAAGCATAGCACAACGTTTTTGCTTATACAAGGAAACAGAGATACAAGTTTAGGAAGATTAAAGGCTTGTAAGTCAAAGTAGTAAATTCCAGAGAGAAACCTGTAGAAAAAAAATTCCAAAAATCCAAATAGAAATCCCTGGAGTTTCTGCTGAATACTAAGATAAGCATGAGTAAGGTATAACTCCATAAGAGTGGGCAAAAAATGACAAGGAAACTGGAAATTGAAAAATTCCAAAATTTCACATAAGATAGGAAGACATTCAAGTTCCAACCAACCAGAAGACACAGACTGAAGCACTCAGCAGAGACCACAATATAGTATAGCCTTGGTAGATAAATTAGCCTTAAAGGCCACTTTAACATTATTTTTTATTTATTTATTTATTTTTAGAGATGTTGCCCAGGCTAGAGTATAGTGGCATGATCATGATCATAGCTTACTGTGGTGTCAAACTCCTGGGCTCCAGGGATCCTCCTGCCTTGGCTTCCTAGAGTGCTGGGACTATAGGCATGAGCCACCACACCTAGCAACTTTAGAACTATACAAGAAAAGGTTAATAGGATCAAGCTGATAAAAAAAGACTGACATTTTTTAAAGAAAGATCACAAAATCTACCCTCAACAATGTTCATATTCAAAACACTCACAATGTTCAGCATCCAATCAAATGTTACTAAACATGAAAAGCAGGGAAATGTGACCAATAAAGAAGAAAATATCAGTCAACAGAAACCGACCTAGAAATGACAGAAGTGACAAAAATAACAAAAGACATTGAAACAGTCATTATAAATAAGTCAAACATGTTCAAGTATTTCAAGAAAAACTTGAACATTATAACGGAAAAAGAAGATTTTCTAAAAAACATAACTGTAACTTCAGGAGATGAAAAATATTATTTCTAAAATAAAAAGTTACCTAGATGTGATTAGAAGCAATTAGATACTGAAGAAGAAAAGAACAGTGATTGGAGGCAGAGCAAGAGAAACAAACCCCAAGCAGGATAAATCTAGAATTTTATATTCAGAAGGAAAATCCTTCAAAAATAAAAGCAAAATAAAGACTAAGATGAACACAAAGAGAATTTATCACTGCAAGAAATAGTAAAAGTTCAGGGAGAAAGAAAATGCTACCAGATGGAAACATAAATCTATAACAAAGATAGAAACAGAAGAGCATCACAGGCCGGGCACGGTGGCTCACGCTTGTAATCCTAGCACTCTGGGAGGCCGAGGCGGGCGGATTGCTCAAGGTCAGGAGTTCAAAACCAGCTTGAGCGAGACCCCGTCTCTACTATAAAAATAGAAAGAAATTAATTGGCCAACATATATATATATATATATATATATATATATAATTAGCCGGGCATGGTGGCTCGTGCCTGTAGTCCCAGCAACTTGGGAGGCTGAAGCAGTAGGATTGCTTAAGCCCAGGAGTTTGAGGTTGCTGTGAGCTAGGCTGACTCCACGGCACTCACTCTAGCCTAGGCAAGAAAGCGAGACTCTGTCGCAAAAAAAAAAAAAAAAAAAAGAGCATCACAGGGCAAGGTGTGGTGGCTCATGTCTGTGATCCTAGCACTCTGGGAGGTGGAGACGGGAGGATCACTTGAGATCTGGCATTCGAGATCAGTCTCAGCAAGAGCAAGATCCCTGTCTCTACTAAAAATGGAAAGAAATTAACTGGACAACTAAAAATAAAAAAAATCAGCCAGGCATGGTGGCACATGCATGTAGTCCCAGCTACTCGAGAGGCTGAGGCAGAAGGATTGCTTGAGCCTAGGAGTTTGAGGTTGCTGTGAGCTAGGCTGATGCCATGGCACTCTAGCCCAGGCAGCAGAGCGAGATGCTGTCTCAAAAAACAAACAGAAGAACATCAGAAATGGCTGGGAACAGTGGCTCATGCCTATAATCCTACCGCGTTAGGAAGCCAAGGCAGGAGGACTACTGGCACCCAGCAGTTTGAAGTTGCAGTGAGCTATGATTGCACTACTGCACTCCAGCCTGGGCAACATAGACCCTGTTGTGGGAGGAAAAAAGGTAAAGATATGGGTGAATATGAAAGACCTTTTTCTCATGTTTTATTTCTGACATATGCTACAACATGAATAAACTTTGAGAACATTATGCTACGTGAAATAAGAAAGTCACAAATAGGCCGGGCGCGGTGGCTCACGCCTGTAATCCTAGCTCTCTGGGAGGCCGAGGCGGGCGGATTGCTCGAGGTCGGGAGTTCAAAACCAGCCTGAGCAAGAGCGAGACCCCGTCTCTACTATAAATAGAAAGAAA